GATGCTCATGACTTCAATCACTGCTGTGTCTGGTCCAGACTCAGTATTTACAGACACGTCATGCCGCTGATATCCGGCGTTCAACAACAAGCAAACAGAATACATGATAATATCAACCACTGGTTTGTCTATCCCAGATTTGATCATTTTTAGGCTAGGAAGATGCTGACTGTGAACAAAGCAAATTATAAAGCACTTCCTTCTGAAAAGAAACCCTGCAAATAGGCACTCATCTCAGACAAATTCTTCGTGTTTTGAAGGAAGCTGACACGCAATCACTTCGGGACAAAATAATAGGTATTTAGTTGTCTTAAAACGTAATATTTTCATTGCAATGCAACACTGGTAATGTTCTGTAATATATTTCAAAACGGAGAGTCACGATTGATCACACGCGTACTTGTCGAATCTGTCGAATCACGGGGCTTTTGAATCTGATCTAAGGTCAATGATTATTTTCCCAGCCGATCAATGCCTTTGTATCGGCCTTGCGGTCGTAGCTTGATCTGAGAGCTATTTGCAGCTTATCCTGATACGAAGTTGCCGTTGCTTCCGACACGGAATTGCAGCTGGTTCTAACACGGAGATCTAATTGGTTCTGACTTGCAGCTGGTTCTGGCAGGCAGTTGCGGGTGGTTCTGACACGGAACTGCAGCTGGTTCTGGTAGGGAACTGCAGCTGGTTCGAACACTCATTTGTGGATAGTTCTGACAGGGAGGTGCAGCTGGTTCTGACACGAAGGTGCAGCTGGTCCTGACAAGGAGGGGCAGCTGGTTCTGACTGGGAGGTGCAGCTGGTTCTGACTGGGAGATGCAGCTGGTTCTGACTGGGAGGTGCAGCAGGTTCTGACTGGGAGGTGCAGCAGGTTCTGACTGGGAGGTGCAGCTGGTTCTGACTGGGAGGTGCAGCTGGTTCTGACTGGGAGGTGCAGCTTGTTCTGACTGGGAGGTGCAGCTGGTTCTGACTGGGAGGTGCAGCAGGTTCTGACTGGGAGGTGCAGCTGGTTCTGACTGGGAGGTGCAGCTGGTTCTGACTGGGAGGTGCAGCTGGTTCTGACTGGGAGGTGCAGCTGGTTCTGACTGTGAGGTGCAGCTGGTTCTGACTGGGAGGTGCAGCTGGTTCTGACTGGGAGGTGCAGCTGGTTCTGACTGTGAGGTGCAGCAGGTTCTGACTGGGAGGTGCAGCTGGTTCTGACTGGGAGGTGCAGCTGGTTCTGACTGGGAGGTGCAGCAGGTTCTGACTGGGAGGTGCAGCAGGTTCTGACTGGGAGGTGCAGCTGGTTCCTCTCTGAGCTGGTTCTGACTGGGAGGTGCAGCTGGTTCTGACTGGGAGGTGCAGCTGGTTCTGACTGGGAGGTGCAGCAGGTTCTGACTGCGAGGTGCAGCTGGTTCTGACTGGGAGGTGCAGCTGGTTCTGACTGGGAGGTGCAGTTGGTTCTGACTGGGAGGTGCAGCAGGTTCTGACTGGGAGGTGCAGCTGGTTCTGACTGTGAGGTGCAGCTGGTTCTGACTGGGAGGTGCAGCTGGTTCTGACTGGGAGGTGCAGCTGGTTCTGACTGGGAGGTGCAGCTGGTTCTGACTGGGAGGTGCAGCTGGTTCTGACTGGGAGGTGCAGCTGGTTCTGACACGAGGACTCCACTCCAGTGTCTGGTGCTGATGGTAAGTAGTTTTATGTTTCACAGTGTCGTATGTCAAGTTACAATAACCAAAAACAGAATTCCTAAGTAACGACAGAGTGATATTCGTAGCGAACATTGCACGGTTAACGTTGTGCACGTTCGTGGCTTACACTAATGCTATACACAATTATTCAGTAAAGACGTTGGTAGGCATAATCCGTTTGATTTCATTTTAGACCGATGAATTGCTCACTAACACAAAATCTAATAATTGCAACAAAACCAAATTTTGCACAGACACATGAAATCGACAAAACAACTCTGATGATTTGTCTCATATTTTTGGACAGCCGAATAAAACAGTTGTCTGATAAACGATCATTATTTTGTTGTCACTTACCGCTATTTTGTACGATGGGGGACACTTGCTGGTAGAACAGCCAGATAATCAACAAGCGTCTGAAGTGAAATATCAATTTCTATACGGGCAACTCGCACACCTGTCGGTTCTACCAGAAAGCGGCAGGTTGATGACGTCCATAGACCATCATGCTTGTCGTGGGAGGCGACTAACGGGATCGGGTGGTCAGGCTCTCTGACTCGGTTGACACATGTCAGCCTATCCCAGTTGCGTAGATCGATGCTGATGATGTTGATCACTGGATTGTCTGGTCCAGACTCCAATATTTACAGACCGCCGCCAGATAGCTGGAATATTGTTGAGTGCGACGTAAAACAACAACCAAAATATTGCTACAATTTATTGATATTGCTGGAATATTGCTCCAAGCGGCATAAACCATACTCACTCAGTAATTCACTCACTACCTGTGGCGTCGACCACCGAAGCATGCGTTACACATAGCAGTGAGCAGTCTGAGTATGGTTTTACGCCGCTTTTAGCAACATTCCAGCAATATTCCAGCAATATCACGACGAACGCTGAGTGGAGCGAACGCTTTAACCACTGGGCTAGCCCACCGCCCCGTCACACACAGTAAGATATCTCAGTTTCAATCGACTGTGTTTCATATTGTTAGCGCATAACATGCACGTGCAATTCCACAAACATCTGTCACAAGGTTTTGCAAGAATCACACTATAGACCGTGATCAACACTGCACAGTGTGCACAGATTTCCTGGACGAAGTACGAATTTATTGATCGTGCATGTCAATATTTGCCATCGAACGGATGAACTTCTTGAACGCGGTTTGGCGCCAGTCGCTCTCCTCCACGCTGAAAAAATCTCACTAGAAATTGCTAGAAATTGAACCCACATTCAACTGTAAAGAGCACTCTCCCCTAGTCACATCGCCTGTGTCACTCGCCCCTAGTCACATCGCCTGTGTCCATGCCTTGATTACAACGTCCCCCGTCAGTTGTCTGAACAGATAATATTTCCTCGATGGAGAATTATAACCTTGTATCTCCGAGGGATTTTTTTCGAGCACCTCATACATGACGTTGGAACAATTGGAATGCACAGTGAGTCATATGATATAAATAGATCGAACAATTTTATTTTGAGTGCCCTCTTGTAATTGAATGCAAAAAGGCGAAATTTAAATGGACATTCGATACTGCAGCTGTGCGCATGGTAATGATTTTCAAGCAATGAATCATAAGCTTGTCTGGACACACGTTGAGATAAGGGATATGAATCACAGACTGCTTCGACCGAAACGGTAATGTGTGCAAATTTAACAGTGAGAATCCAGGCCAGAATGTAGTCGCTCAAGCTTTGACTACGAGGATCGGGTCGTCATTCCATCTAGTTCGTTTGGTGTATGTCATCGTAATCCAGTTGTTTAAATCGGTGTTCAGGATATAAGTCATTGGATTGTCCTGTCCAATTGTTGATGGCAAACGGATCCTTACATGGAAGCAGAACAATCAAACCTACAAAAGTCAGTTCTGTTATTGGCACGATCCGAATGTACAAAACAGACGCCACTTCCCTTATAGTACAGTGCGTGAGTTCAGATTTACGCCGCTTTTAGCAATATTCCAGCAATATCATGGCGGGGAACACCAGAAATGGGCTTCACACATTGTGCCCATGTGGGGAATCGAACCCGGGTCTTCGGCGTGACGAGCGAACGCTTTAACCACTAGGCTACCCCACCGCCCCTTATAGTACAGATATTCATGCTCAATAAACACTTCTCTTATAATATAGACGTTTCTGTTCTATAAACACTACTCTTATAATATAGATATTTATATTCTATAAACACTACCCTTATAGTACAAACGTTTATGTTCTATCAACACTACCCTTATAATACAGTTGTTTGTATTCGACAAACACTTCTCTAATAGTACAAGTGTTTTTGTTATCTGTAGCACACACGTTTATGTTCTATAAACACTGCAGTACTCCTATAATATAGATGTTTGTGTTCTACTTATACTTCTCTAATAGTACAAGTGTTTTTGTTATCTGTAGCACACATGTTTATGTTCTATAAACACTGCAGTACTCCTATAATATAGATGTTTGTGTTCTACTTATACTTCTCTAATAGTACAAGTGTGTTTGTTATCTGTAGCACACACGTTTATGTTCTATAAACACTGCAGTACTCATATAATATAGATGTTTGTGTTCTACAAATACTTCTCTAATAGTACAAGTGTTTTTGTGTTATCTGTAGCACACATGTTTATGTTCTATAAACACTGCAGTACTCATATAATATAGATGTTTGTGTTCTACAAATACTTCTCTTTAAATATAGATAAATTATGTTCATAAACACTTCTCTTGTAGACAGACAGACGGATAGATAGTGAGTTTAGTTTTACGCCGCACTCATCAATATTCCAGCCATATGGCGGCGGTCTGTAAACATTCGAGTCTTGACCAGACAATCCAGTGGTAAACAACGTGAGCATCAATGTACGCAATTGGAATACGACGACATCAATTGGGATACATACAACCACGTCAGCGAGCCTCAGCATCCTATCCCGTCAGTCGCCTCTTGCGACAAACATGGATAACTGAAGACCAGTTCTAACCGGGATCTTCACGTGTCTTTGGAAAGACTCATTCGAGGCTACCCATGGCCTGTAAGGGTAGTTCAGAGGTTCACGAGTTCGCTGGACACGTCAGCGTGTTAACTTCCATCAGGTGTGCAAGGTTCCCCCACCTCCACAACTCATATGTTGTCAGAGCACATATCTACCACAGTTGATTCCAACTCCATTTATTGAAAAACTGTTTTTGAATGAACATATATTATAAAAGAAGTGTAGATTGAAAGCAGTCGTTTTTAAGTGGCTGTGAAAATTATATTTGTAAAGGTAGAGTGCGTTTGGTGCCACTTTTGTTTTTCCAGTGTGTTTTTACATTTTGCTTGCAGTAGCTGCAATCATGCCCAGGACCCACAGAGCATTTTTTTCTCTGCTTGTTTTGAACGTGGTCGTTCTGATCTGTGTTCTGTTGTCACAAGGTGAGTCGAAGTGAGGTGAGAAATAACTGGAATATTGTTGAGTGGAATAATAACAATAACAAAAACAAACAACTAAAACAAATCCCCATCACAACCCAATCAAATATATATTAAAGACCCAAAGAGAGCATTACAAAACTATCGGTTATTATCTCCGATACTGTATAATTTCAGAAAGGTTTGGGATTGTGAGAAGAGTCACTCCTTCGGAAGGGTTCTTTGATAAATCATCCACATTGGGATGGAGACGCTCTGATGAAGACACTGGCAGTATTCACTTGACAGAAAATGGCCTGGACCTTTTCCTGAAGGGAGATGATGAACTACCAACCGATGGTGACGGGAGTAATGGCGACACAACTTGTAAGTGTTTCACGAGCGAGTGAGTGAGTAAAGTGAGTGAGTGAGTGAGTGAGTAAAGTGAGTGAGTGAGTGAGTGAGTGTAGTTTTACGCCGCTTGTAGCAATATTCCAGCAATATCGCGGCGGGGGACACCAGAAATGGGCTTCACATGTTGTACTCATGAGGGGAGTACGAACGCGCGAGGGGAGGTGAAAACTGGGTACAACGTCCCCAGTAGGCCGGCGGCAGTTAGATCTGGTTAGGATGGAATTTGTATTGTAAGTACCATAAATACCCGTGAAGGTTAGAATTTTCACATTGAATGTATTCAAACACCGAAACCGTTCTGGCTCCCAATTTCCATTCCTTAGATTTATAGCATTTAAAAGAGAAGGGTTCCGTGCCTGATAACACCACCACTTCAAACATCTGGGTTACAACTGCAATCTGATAAACTACGCGTGTAAGTTCCAAGTCATTAGACTATGTTGCTTTGTATTATAGCATGTCAGCGTACCCTGAATGTATTGATCATTTCTCACATATAATGTTGTGACTGTGGAGTAGCCTAGTGGTTAAAGTCACGTCGAAGACTTGGGTTCGATTCCCCGCATGGTTACAATGTGTGAAGCCCATTTCTGGCGTCCCCCGCCGTGATATTGCTAAAAGCGGCGTATCACTCACGTATAGTTTTAATGAGCCAAGTGGTGTGGTTGTATTTATGCTGAACCGTGAAGATTCGGGTTAGAACTGGTATTCAGCAACCTCGGGGGACTATTGAGGAGGAAACTACTATTGCGATAGAGATAGTCTGTTGCCACCAACTATTGTCATACTATTACAGTAGGGGTTTTTTCTCCTTGAATTGTCTCATTGGAAGTCATTTCCCAAATATAGTTTACATGAAATAAAAACAAGCTGAGTAGTTTCCGTCGCTTTTAATAACTGACAAGAAACTTGAAACAGTAAAAACACAAACTTATTGTTATTCACAATTTCAAACTCCGAGTCGCATGCCGTGTTTGTCGCCATGTTTATTTAAGAAGTAACAGGGGCGGATAACTCTAAATCAAATGGAACAAATCTGGTACTTCCTGTATTTTGCGCCGAATATTTATCAACGGATGTCAATTACTAAACTATCGATAGTCACACATGCTGTCATTGCATCAATAGGTTTTCGTTTCTACTATCGATTAATTGCTATCGCAGACTGAACAATTGCAATCCATCTATTATTCGATGCATCGTTACAGCACTATCAGCAACCCATGCTTGATGTTAGAAGCAAAAACGGGATCGGGTGGTCAGGTTCACTGATTTGGTTAACACATGTCATCGTATCCAATTGCGTATAGCAATGATCATGATGTTGGTCACTGGATTGTCTGGTCCAGACTCGATTATTTACATACCAACGCCGCCGTATACCATAAAAATTACTGAGTGTGGCTTTAACAACAAAGAAACCAAACCGAATCCAAACTGTGTTATACGAACACCGCCAACTACCAATAATGAAAATAAGAATATTATAGAGTCCCTCCACCAATTCATTTGCAAGACTAAACGATTCTATAAAACAGTCTAAACCAAATAATACATAACAATTACCTTAACAAAATAATGAAACGTAACTGCAAGCGGGCTGTTCATTAGAATTTTCAATGCACAGACGATGTTACGATTTTAGATAATTTCATTTTGTCTATTTCATTGTATCTCTTTTGTCTAGCTCTTGTGTGTTCTATTTGTGTTATATTTGTACTGGTGAGGCATTCACAAAAGCAAAGCTTTGTTTGTTTACCAAACCAGATTCTTTCATGAATGAAAATATGCTTAAACCGAAACGAATCACTACCCTCGCTTTTGCACATCTTTCAGTGGTGGTTGACAACTCCCTGGCAGCTGCTGTTTCAAGGAAGGTCCGGCTTGCCTGCTTCATCACCACGAGGGAAGTCTACATGGACACAAAACTGAAGGCCGTCAACGCGACGTGGGGCAGGAGATGTGACAAGATTCTGTACGTGATGACCACCAACAAAACAGGACCCGACATCCTGGGACTGGACATTCGTGACCACCATGACACTCTGACAGAGAAGATCGTGCAAACCTTCACGCACATGTACAACACATATCTTGAACAATACGACTGGTTTCTCAAAGCTGACGATGATTCGTATGTGATCGTTGAAAACCTCAAGTTCTTCCTGGCCCACTTAAATTCGAGTAAGCCTGTCTACGTTGGGGACCATTTTGTTCATTTTTCGCCAAATGGCTACATGGGTGGTGGTGCAGGCTACGTGTTGAGTAGGGCAGCTCTCCGGCGATTGGTCGAGCAGGGTTACAGAGTTCCTGGTAGATGTAGACAAGCCGGAGGAAGCGAGGACATTGAGACTGGCCGGTGTTTGTATAAAGCTTCTGTGTCCACTTACCTCTCGGTGGACCGGTTTAACAGATCGTCCTTCCATGCTGCCAGTCCAGAAGCGTTCCTCCCAGGAGAAAGTAATTTTCTGACGAGCTTTAGTGCTATCAAATATAAAACGGTAAGCATAACTGGAGATAAACGAGTGGGTGAGTGATTGAAGGTTAGAAGGCTAGAATTCTATTTTGATAAGATATCCTGCCGTATGAAGATTTGGCAATCCCTTTATAGGAAATCAGCGTCAGGGAGTCTAAAATTTGAAGGCGACTGAAATGGAATTCAGACTGGCATCTTTGATGAAGATCCGGCTTAAAATTGATCTTCAGCAACCAGTGCTTGTCATAAGAGGCGACAAACGTGATCGGGTGGTCAGGCTCGCTGACTTGGTTGACACATGTCATCGGTTCCCCATTGCGCAGATCGATGCCCATGCTGTTGATCACATGATGGTCTGGTCCAGACAGATTATTTACAGACCACCGCCATATAGCTGGAATATTGCTGAGTGCAGCGTTAAACTAAACTCACTCACTCACTGTTGATCAGTGGATTGTCTGGTCCAGACTCGATTATTCACAGACTGTCGCCATATAGCTGGAATATAGCTGAGTGCGGCGTAAAACTAAACTCATTCACTCACTCACTGTTGATCAGTGGATTGTCTGGTCCAGACTCGATTATTCACAGACTGGAATATTGCTGAGTGCGACGTAAAACTAAACTCACTCACTCATTATGTTTTCTATTCTCCACACAGCTTCCCGAGTGCTGCTCTCAGCTTACAATAAGCTTCCACTATGTCAACCACAAGCTGATGAGAGTGCTGGACATGGTCCTTTACCGGATTGCTGTTTTTGGTAGGACAGTCAACTATAAAATGTTGAAGAACTTATTCAAGACACGGGAATTCCAAATCCCCAGAGACAGGAAAAGGGCAGTGTATCCTGGAGAGACACTAGAAGAGTACTACAAGAATGCCACAGAATGGAGACTAAAGAACACAACGATTTATATACGAAATGAAACTAAACATAACTAGATGCAATAAATCGAGATCCGTCTTTCACAGGAGTTATATTTTATATCAAAACGCACTTGGCTGAGATTTCTCTGTATCGCAATACTACACACGGACTGTTTGTTTGTTTGCTCGCGTCTTGGACTCAGCACTATATGGCGGCGGTCTGTAAATAATCGATTCGGGACCATACAATCCAGTGATCAACAGCATTAGTTTTGGCTTACTTAATTGAGATACGATGACATGTGTCAACCAAGTCAGCGGGCCTGACGACTCGATGCACGCAACAATGTGCCAGTGACATTAAGAATAATCTTACCGACATTTTGATCAATTCAGGTTTTCAAAACAAGGGGTTTCAAACGAGTGTATGGAATTTCCCCATCAGGACAATTCCCCACTAGGACAATTCCCCACAGGACTTTTCCCCACCTCTGGCAGTGCGGATTGCCTGATGTTTTTGTCAACCCTCATCTATAATCGAATTCAAATTTTGAATCAATTTTAAAAGACCATTTTTTGCAATCATGGACTAGCGATATGCAGAATTCCTCTAAAGGAATATATTATAAAGTTCTGAAGCGCTCTCCCAGATTTGTACAATACCTACTTCTCTCAGATGATTTTTCTAAACCGATCCTCAAATTTAGAACATGCAACCATAAACTTCCCATAGAACCTCGGAGATGGCAAAATACCCCAAAACAACACAGATTTTGTAATTCATGTGATTCACATTTGATTGGAGATGAGTTTCACTATTTGTTTAAATGTAAGTATTTTGCAAACACCCGTAAATCGTTGTTAAAAGAACCTTATAGTTCCTGGCCCGATTTGTCAAAGTTCCGTCAACTTTTTTCAAGTAAAATATCTACCAAGTATCCAAGTTCATTAAGATTGTTTGTAGAACACTTTCATTGATGTATCATTTAGTCATCTGTTGATGAACATATTGTATGTACTCCTTTGTTATACAGTCATGCACCACCGATGGTGGATTATTTTGAGTAATAAACGAGGATGATTATGACATTTCCCCACACCTGTTTTGTCTGTTCACTTGTTAGGGGAGATGGGATTAACTAATCTGTGCATTGTGTGTATTCACTTGTTAGGGGAGATGGGATTAACTAATCTGTGCAGTAGGGTATTCACTTGTTAGGGGAGATGGGATTAACTAATCTGTGCAGTAGGGATATTCACTTGTGATAGGAGATGGGATTAACTAATCAGTGCATTAGATTTGCCATTCCAAGTGAATTTCAAGTTAATCAATCTGACAATGAACTCATTAAACTGAAAGACAACGATCTACATTCGAAAGAAAAGTAAAACTAATTGTTGCAACAAATCAGAAATATAGTTTATAGATTGCTGTTATTTAATGTCAGAGTTGTATGTTTTGATATGCTTAAAGCCACCCTGAGACTTGCACGAATCTTGTCCCCGCTCTGGTACGCAATTTTGCGTGGAAATGAGTATATTCGGCGTAAAGTGTTGTGAAGTGTGCGTAAACTGTGCGGCGCTGCGTACCAGTACCTCAAAGAAACTTTTGAAATGTTCAAAAATTCTGGTACGCATAATCTTCGTGCCACTTGCGTGAACCAGTCGTGAACATCGCGCAACCTACTCGCAAACACTGCGGGGCTGTGCGTATCAAAGCGTGTCAATTTCCGGCCCGCTTTCATCACAAACTGTGTGCGATATGGTCGCCACAGATTGCGTAAAGTTCACGCCTCCTAACTTGCCGTGAAGTGGGCGGGTGGGAATTGTCTGTGTGGTGAATTGTCACTGAGGTGATGGGGAATTGTCTGTGTGAGGGAATTGTCACTGAGGTGATGGGGAATTGTCTGTGTGGTGAATTGTCACTGAGGTGGTGGGGAATTGTCTGTGTGGTGAATTGTCACTGAGGTGATGGGGAATTGTCTGTGTGGTGAATTGTCACTGAGGTGATGGGGAATTGTCTGTGGGGAATTGTCACTGAGGTGATGGGGAATTGTCTGTGGGGAATTGTCACTGAGGTGATGGGGAATTGTCTGTGTGGGGAAGAATTGTCACTGAGGTGATGGGGAATTGTCTGTGTGGGGAATTGTCACTGAGGTGATGGGGAATTGTCTGTGTGGTGAATTGTCACTGAGGTGATGGGGAATTGTCTGTGTGGGGAATTGTCACTGAGGTGATGGGGAATTGTCTGTGTGGGGAATTGTCACTGAGGTGATGGGGAATTGTCTGTGTGGGAATCGTCACTGAGGTGATGGGGAATTGTCATTAAGGTGATGGGAATTGTCTGTGTGGGAATTGTCAGTGTGGGGAGTTGTCTGGGGAGGGGGAAAGTTGACATTGAGGGACAGATCTGATGTGGGTAATTGTCACAGGTGATGGGGGAATTGTCTGATGGGGAATTGTCACTGAGGTGGTGATGGGGAATTGTCTGTGTGGGTTAACTGTCACTGAGTGATGGGGAATTGTCTGTGTGAGGAATAGTCTGGTGGGGAATTGTCTGTGTGTGGGAATTGTCACCGAGGTGATGGGGAATTGTCTGTGTTAGAATTGTGTGAGGAATTGTCTGGTGGGGGAATTGTCTGTGTGGTGAATTGTCACTGAGGTGATGGGGAATTGTCTGTGTGGGAGGGGAATTGCCACTGTGAGGTGATGAGGTGGAATTGTCTGTGTAGAATTGTCACTGAGGTGATGGGGAATTGTCTGTGTGGGGAATTGTCACTGATCGCATGATGGGGAATTGTCTGTGGAATTGTAATGGTCAACCTCCCTCCAAGCGTGGGAATTGAAAGCAACCAAAGATCACCAACAACGCTTCAAGAACCTTTGTGTTGCATATAGTGCTGGACAGAAACCCCGGGATCAGCTCCTGATATCCATTTCAAAGAACATTCGTCTTGACTGAATGAAAGGATGTGCGAATGTAATCTTTGTTATCACCTGTGTTTCGGATACTGTGTTTCTATGTGTTTGGACATACTGATACTGATGCCTGCCATTCATAGGGCGTGGCATCAAGCGGGACAAAGCGGGACCAAATAAAACTAGGACTGCTTCAAGCATGCACGAAATGGTTGTGGCAATGCATGCCCATTCTGGAACCATACGCGTCGTTGGTACCATGCCGTACAGAGGACGTAAACAATGCGCCAACAATACCTGACCTAGGTGTAAAAAGTCGTGCGATAGCGTGCCAATCCGTGCCAGTTTGCACCATTTTCGGTCACGCATTGCGTGCCAAGTGTGTAACTTATGCGTAAACAGGACGCGAACAGTGCGCAAACTGGGCTTCAGGCTTTCAGGCGCACCATCTAAATTACACGCATTGCCACGACGAATTGCTCGGCAGGGCAGGGATAACGTCAGTACAAGTGCCAGGGTGGCTTAATACCCCGTAATATTTACACGAATCAGGATATTTCCTCTACACGTGATCTAGACGTGAGCTTATCTCTGCATCTGATTGACAACAAGGACCTAATAACCTACCGACCTTGCAATCGGGTGTAATTGTTGGAGCAATACTGACACATTACGTAGTGTTGTGCGTCTAATGACAGAGGAGTTACCTGTTGGAATTTCACTGTTGGTGTGATACGATACGCTTCACACCCTACGAAGGGTAAGGTGAGTTAAGGTATATTTCGAAATAAGATGTTATCACACGAGTGTGAGATGGAATATTTTCCTGTAGGAATAAACATACTAAACATTTGGATTAAACACTGCATATTGCATCATGTGCATTAATAATAGATCTTCGATATTATTTATTCATAATACAGGGCATCTCCATCCAAAATTGCACTTGCGCAGAGTGAGTGAGTGAGTGAGTTTGATTTTACGCCGCTTTTAGCAATATTCCTGCAATATCACGGCGGGGGACACCAGAAATGAGCTTCACACATTTTGCCTATGTGGGGAATCGAACCCGGGTCTTCGGCGTGGCGAGCGAACGCTTTAACCACTAGGCTACCCCACTTGCGCAGAAGCCTCTTTAAAATAAAATGTCAGTCCCGAAAGTTTTCCTGAAAACACCCGGGAAGAGCCAGGCTTGAATTGGACTTCAGTAACCCACGCTTGTCGTAAGAGGCAACTAACGGGATCGGGTGGTCAGCCTCGCTGACTTACTTGACACACCTACTTCATCGTTTCCCGGTGTCGTAGATTGATGCTTCTGATGTCAATCCATCTGATTCAGACTCGGTTATGTACAGACGGCCGTCGTAGAGCTGGAATATTAGGGGACTGCGGCAACGAACAAACAACGCCCATGCATCATAAACTGTACCTATAGTCATTGCACATATTCCTTGGATGCGCGTATTATTGCGTCAGAAAGTTACTTTTGGCTACTAGTTAACTGGCTACAATTCCTTAACCACCAGGGGACCGTTCATGGGGTGGGGTGGGGTAGTGTGTGTGTGTGTGTGTGTGTGTGTGTGTGTGATGATGATGATGATTCCGGAGAAGCGTGTACAATGTGACCCCCCAAATTTATGTACAACACAAGTGACCCCCCTGCATTTCATCTACAAAATCAATGACCTCCCCACCTCAACTTCCAATAATTTCTAAGCATAATTTTAAAGATATGTTATGTACAAAACTGCTGACCCCCTCCTACGTGTGTACAAAATTGGTGCCCTCCCCAAGCTCCTCAGAACAATAAGGGTGAACCCCCACTTAAAATCACTTCGCTTCCTTTGACATCTAATAGCTCTAGAGTTGCCAACATCTATATCATATATTATTTAATTCCTACTCGATGGTCTTTTGTTTGTTAACGGCGCACTTGGCAACATCGGCAATATCCCAGCTATGCCGGCATCTGTATATAATCGAATCTGGAACAGACCATCCAGTGATTAACATCATGTGCATTTATCTATGCATTTGGGATGCGAGGAAATGTGTCAACCAAATCAGTCGCCTTTTACGATAACCATGGGTTGCTGAAGACGTGATCATCACAGGTTTAGATTTGTCGTTTAAAACCTGTTGCTTGTGATATATTCCACAAAGAGATTAAAATACAATTGGACGTAATCTTTATTTTACAATTTATAAGCTCTACTGTCAACACCATGCTTATAGTTCGTGTTCTTTCCACAGAAAAGTTCAAACTATACTTCAAACAATGACAAACAACAGCGACAGTCTTCATACTCCTGACCTCGACCTTCAACTCCGTCTCTATGACAACCAGTACGCCCAACAAGTAGTGCCCGCCATGTTGTTCCTGGCCATTCTGATGATTGTCGGATGTATTGGGAACGCCCTCGTCTTTTATGTGTATCATGTGAAGATGAAACGAAACACAACCCGGGTGTATATTCTATCAGTGGCAGCGTTTGATCTTCTGAACTGTGTTGTGTGTATACCCAATGAAATAGCAGACATGCGATATAACTACACCTTTGGGCAATATGCTCTATGTAAAGTAGTTCGCGTATTCATCGTGTTCTCGTCGTTTGGGTCGGGGTTCATACTGCTTGTCGTAGCAGTAGATCGATACAGGAAGGTATGCAGGCCATTTCAAAAGCAGATGAGCATAAGAACTGCCCGGGTAGCTGTATCAATTTGCACTGTTCTATCGTTCTTTATATCACTACCAGCGTATGTTATCTTCGGCTCAAGAACTGTGCCTCTAGATATCGTCAACATCAATGGTTCTGACTGTTCCATTTCTGATGAGTACGTTGATTCCCCATTCCCACGGCTGTATAATGGGGTACACTTTCCATATTTGTGCCTTCGATGCTGTTCCTAATAGTGATCTACAGCCTAATAAGGAGGCAGGTCATAAAGCAGCGAAGATTCCGGAGCAAGATGCACTGTCAGAATGTTCCTTCATCCCAAAAGGGAGATGGTGATAAAGTGAGTAACTCAACCCAATCTGATGAAGTTCCAACCTCTTCATCAGAACAGGAACCCTCAGATGTCTCTGAAGATGCGATGCAATTGCCCAACAATCGACCAGCCAGGGAGGACGCTTCGAACAGCACAGGGCAAGAAAGGAAACCAGAGCACAGTTCTAAAGACAAGACATGGCTGGGTATAGACGTATCTGCCTCCTGTGATGCTGAGTCGGCGAATTTCCACACATCGCCCCGAAGAGACGGAGGTGAACGGAGAACTTTGTTCATGTTGTTTCTTATCACTCTCGTATTTGTGGTGAGCTTTCTGCCACACTTGACTCTGATGGTGACACTGGCGGTGAACAAATATATCTTTGAAGAAATCCAAGGGTTTGGATTGGCTGCGTTCAACCTGTTCATCAGGTCGTTTTTCATCAACAGTGCCTCTAATCCTTTCATATACAGCTTCTGTAGCACCAACTTCAGACGCGAACTTGGAGTCGTAATCTGGAAATTAAATTGTCGGGCAACAAAGAACTAGTAATTCGAGAAAGAAATAATCAGTCGAATTTCTGCCGAAACATTCCATGGTGCTTAAAGTGAAAAAAAGTCAATAATGTGAATAGGGTCAACAACTTCGAGTGTCGAAGTTTGAGGACATGAGGAAAATACTTCGAGTTATCCTAGGTTCAACACAGGAACAATTCGAAACAATGTTGTTTCAATGTATGTAATGTTGACATGTTTACAAACATCAACCGATCATTGACAAACCTTCCAAATGCAAACTTTTCTGTCTGGGGCTCAACCCAGCCAAAAGTACTAGAATCTGTACTTGACTAACGAGTGTAAAGTGTAATCCCAAATATAACATATGTTACATTTGATGACTTTCTAAAATGGCATTGTTGTATTTCATAGCTTTCGGCCGTTGGAGTCGTGCCAATTAACACTTATCAGAGGGGTACACAAAGTCCGCAGTATAGACTACCAGTTGTCCGACTTCCATTTTGGAAGCCGCGGTGGCTGAACGGTCTAGGCGTCTGACTTTGTGTGCTGGCGATTAGGTGCCTGACTCTGAGGGTTTGGGTTCGAATCTCGGATGGGACTCAAATGAGGTTGGTAACAATTTGCTTTGAGTAAAATAAAACATGAAACAGCTGCATTTGTATCATTTCATTTTTCTAGATGAGGCCGAATACTTTTGAGACGCCCCTCGTATAGGTTTCAAAATGATGTCATGTATGACATCTAACTTTGTGTTTGAATGTGTTGTAGTATAATATTAAAAATTGTGGTGGATTTTCAATAAAATGTGTCACAACTATTGATATTTTTATTGCCTGAAATCCTAAGGGTTATGTCTTTCAACATGCGAGAATCATGTCACCGTTACTGATGTGACAGGCGGAAAAAAGCGTCAACGTTTTGTGGTAAAGTCCAAAATGGCTATTAAAAGAAACATCATCATATCCGTTTCTTTGAAGCTTAACAGTAGGTCCTTTTTCTGCGTCTCCGGGTATACTTTCACCAATCCGGAACAATATGTATTGCCCGCATTGCATGCTGTTAACCTTATCTAACAATGAATACTGTAGAGGGTGGCGCAAGCTGTAGATTTCTCTATGCGGATTTTCCTCATTATATGAACAAAGCGTCTCAGATACTCGCGGAAAATCCTTGAAACACTTATCTCTAAACATGAAAACGATCTGGTTTTGCGTGGACGTATTATCCTTATGTAATGCTGATAGCTGATAGTTGTACTGGTAGTTTGATTGGTGTCTCGCGATTCCCCACATGGGTACTTTGTGAAGCGTGCGAGGATATTTGGAAATTGGATTACTGATTACTGACTGACTGAAAATGACTTCACAGAACATGGACTCCACAGAACACTTTGCGTCTATTTTCCAACTAAGCATATCAATTTGGTGTTTTGTTTCTAAACACCCCACAAATAATCTAGGCATACAAAGATGGCCTGTAAATAATCGAGTCTGGACTTAATGAGCATCGATCTACGAAACACAGGGGAAATGGTGCCAATGTTTCAGTGACAAAATATTGGAGATTGGGGTGGGCGGCTGACGTTGTGCCTAACCTTGTAGTTATTTAATGAAGAAGAAGAAGAATATTTTATTATTGTGTCACATGCTATTAAGCAGTGCATGATGACACGATTAAAACGTTTACAAACATCCGCCATTTTTACATTTACATTTAGGATTGATTCAAGTATATTTCACATAAATCACACATGCAACATCATACCGATTCCTGCACACATACTTACGTACATTCATGCATGCGTCAAACTCACTCACCCACACACCAACCTACACTCACAACCACCCACCCAGACCCACACCCACACCCACCCCACCCCGGACTAAGAGATATATAGCCTCCTCCTATACATATGGTTGACAAGAGACGGACTGAAGAGAGTTTGGTTTTATTGCCGCTTTAGCAATATTCCCATTTCACGGCGGGGACACCAGAAACGGCGTCACATATTACCCATGGGGAATACCCAGGTCTTCGGCGTGAGCGGCGCTTTAACCACTAGGCTACCCCACCGCTCAGTCAGTCAGTCAAGAGGTTCAACCAGTGCTGTGTTGCAGCATAAACAGACTGCTGAACGGCAGGCAGCAGCGAGAACGTCTAGCTGATTCAACTCCATGAGAAAACTGTAACGCAAATCTGAACAGAATGGGCAACTGATCAAAAAATGAATCTCACCCTCCACTGAGTGGGAGTCACAGAACTTGCATAACCGATGTTCCAGAGGTGTCTTAGGCCGAGTAAACCTACCACGTTCAACTTCTAAGGGGAGATAACTACAGCGCAGCTTAGCCAGAGCACTGCCGTGGGATCTGGGAATTAACTGTGTAACGTACGGTTCAGCCACCAGAGAACTTTTGAAAAGTCTGTACGTTCGGGTAGAATAGGTCTTCAGCAACCCATGCTTGCCACAAAAGGCGACTATACTTGTCGTAAGAGGCGACTAACGGGATCGGGTGGTGAGGCTTGTTGACTTGGTTGACACATGTCATCGGTTCCCAATTGCTCAGATCGATGCTCATGCTGTTGATCACTGGACTGTCTGGTCCAGACTCGATTATAGCTGGAATACTGCTGAGTGCGGCGTAAAACTAAACTCACTCACTCACCCTATTCAACGATCATTCCACAATTCTCTAAACCATTCTTGTTCGCCAAGAGATTGAATCCAATCACAGGATAATTTAACACCAAGCCCTATAGATATCAGCAACTGGAAGCTACAATTTAGAAAGTATGCTATAGACAGAATTAACCCAAGATCTGGGAAAATGTCGAGACCACTGCATAATGACACTTGACAATCTGCCATACAATTCAATTCATTCCAAAACCTAAGTATTTCCATTTTTGGCTTACAGAAGGACTGCTCCACCCTATCTCTCCTCTGATGATAAATCAGGTGTTTCACATCCGACTCCCAGGAAAAATCTGCAGGCATGGTTTTGAACTGCGTTAATGCAATTAAACTGTTGTGCCCCATATGGCAGCGCCATAGGTCAATATAGGTAATGTAAACGTTAATGCCCACGCGGTGCAGTAGCTGGAAGACGTTACAGTCACAGCGGGTTGGGAAGCCAGGATGTAATGCACGTAGTCATTGGCTGTATTACCCGTGAACATCCGGGTTAGAATTGGTCTTCAGCAACCCATGCTTGTCGTAAGAGGCGACTAACGGGATCGGGTGGTCAGGCTCACTGACTCGGTTGAATGTCATCGGTTCCCAATTGATCGATGCTCATGCTGTTGATCACTGGGTGTCTGGTCCAGCCTCGATTATTTACAGACCGCTGCCATATCTGGAATATTGCTGCGTGCGGCGTAAAACTAAACCCAATGAATCAATCATTGGCTGTATCCGTCCTCCTTGTCACATGATCCGCGCCCTGTCTCTGTCATCCTCGATAATGTCCAGGGTATACGTTATGATAACTCTCCACTATACTCTGGATGCATCCACGGCTTTGGGCGATGATTTTATTACCTCCCTTTGCTGGCTCCACATTCTCACAGTAGCCAAGCAGCTAAGCCGTCGTTACAACCGAGCTTGCCAGTGTCAACAAGGATAGCGGTCGCAGTCGCGAAAGTTTGTTCGCAGTGCCACTCAGATTTTTGGGGAAATAATAAAGACAAATTGACAGATCTGAAACTTTAAAAAAATATATGACAGAACTCCTTCTACTTCTTTCAGAGTACCTCTGCATCAATTGTGTTGCCAAGTTTAAACGGTTAGATAATTTAAGAAGCGAAAGTGAGTTGTGATTGGTACGCTCAACTTCCCAGCGTAGGCACCTGAATGGATAAAAGCCAGCCAAGGGAGGTACTAAAATCATCGCCCCAAGCCGTGGATGCATCCAGGGTATAGTGCAGAGTTATCGTAACGTATACCCTGGAAATTATCGAGGATGTGGCTCTGTTAGTCGCGTGCGAAATACGCATTATATCGTAAACGCACGTAAAATCACCAAGTTATCGTCATCAGTATCAGGGAATCCTCAGTTGTCCCGCTTACAGTGTCTGGTCAGAGATCGTAGGCAACTTCAAGTCTTCCACCAAGAACATTCTATTTTCTGGAATAGATTAGGTGAGTTGAGGTGAGGTGAAATTGGGTTTAACGTCGTGCTTGAGAATATTTCGCTCATATGACGACGTGCATGCGTGTGTATGTGTATGTGCGGCTGCTTGTACTAGCCCAGACTGAAGCTGTGGTAAATTGTGACTGACCAGTCAGCTCCATGGGTTGGACTCGCAGAAGTTCAACATCCTCATCTCTGTTTCCTTCAAATCCAATCAGATTCTTGTCTGCTTCTGAATAATGAGCATTATTAGCTCATCCACGAGTATTTTTCACTTAACGTTTCTCTTGGTCGACATGGGCCAGTGAGGATTCTGTTTACTGCGTTCAGTATTCATAATTCTTCAATAGTTCTAGCGTCAATATCTTTCTTCTATAATTGAAGAGGGAGTTGAAGGACAACCTTCTAAGATATAGATGCACAATCAGCACAATTTGTGCATTTGTGGGAAAAGGTGTCTGCCCTTTGACCATGTGCGTGGCTGACGGAAGCAACGGAAGCGACGTAAGAAATGGAGAATGGAGTGCGCTGCCCCTGGCGTCCTTGGCGGCGCGGGTGTAAGGTGATGGTTCACTCTAACCCGGACCTTCACGGGTACCTTCAGATTCAGACGACATGGAGTTTGAGGCTGGAAACAGAAACCTAAGATTTTAGACAAGGTGGCAGGAGTGAACAAAACTATTGGAAATAACACGATATTATATGGCTGCAATATTGCCGATTCGATGTAAGATGTTGTTTCACTCACTGACATAATTATCAGTTCCAAAACTTATGTCCGATGCAATTTTCTGTTTAGACTTTTCCGATTCCTTCCTATGGTGTCCCTGTATCATTACAAATAAAACCCGACTGCAATGAATTATATAGGTGACATGCCTGTCTCTGTTTCTATGTT